ATGTTCTACTAAACCATGTTGTTGCTATATCTCAAAACCAATCTTAGAGGCTAACTTCCCAACTATATGCACCCCTGCAATCTAATCTAAGGCCTATGAGTGGTTTTTCTCACCCTCAGAGCACAAAGATTGGTTATATTTGAAATTGTCCTAGCTGCACATCATCCAAGAGGCATCCTCCCTCCCCCGGCTTAACTACCTAAGAGCCACAGAGCACATCCCTTCCTTTGCCAACGGAGCTCATAGCAGAGCAGGTGATTTTATTTCACAGTTCCCTGGTGCTGCTAGAATTCACTCTTTCAGGGTCTGAATCCCTCCAGCCCACCCGGGTATGCTTGTTTTTCCAGTCTGGGACTTCCAGGTGTACCCTGGCTTCCTGGTCAGGCAGGTTTCATAACTGCATTGAGTCCATCTCTCTAGGATGATTTAAAAACCAATTAAATACCCACATTATTCAGCAGTTACTAGGGACCAAATACTGTAGCAAGCCTTACTCCCATGAGACAGGCAGTATCATTGCAAACTGCACAGAGAGGAATTCCCAGCACAGATCTGTCTTAATTCTTAGATGACATAGGATGAAACTGAAGATCTAAAAGACTGTTACTGACTCCAAATCACAGAGACGTGTTAAATTGTAGTGGCGGGGCCACATTCAAACCCAAGTTTTTGGATACCAAACCTGGGTTTCACAACACTGTAGCTTCTGTAGCCAAAATCTAAATTTCCTTAAGAAAAGCACAGATGTTAGGATCCTTGTAAATCTCCAACTTTAAGAATAGATCTTTTCTTTCTCTTTTCTTTCTCCCTAGAGCAGCGGTTCTCAATCCTTTCATGGGGTCGCCTAAGACCATCGGAAAACACCTATATAATTACATATTGTTTTTGTGATTAATCACTATGCTTTAATTATGTTCAATTTATAACAATGAAGCTACATCCTGCATATCAGATATTTACATTACGATTCATAACAGTAGCAAAATTACAGTTATGAAGTAGCAACGAAAATAATTTTATGGTTGGGGGTCACCACAACATGCGGAACTGTATTAAAGGGTCCCGGCATTAGGAAGGTTGAGAACCACTGCCCTGGAGCCTGTATTTTCTCCACAAATATTTTGGCACAATTTTTAAAAATCTTGGTATTCACCCTTTGAAGGACTACTACCTTAGCTAGATACTTTGCCAACCTCACTCACATCTCTGAGCCTTTTCTTTTTTCTTAAATATATTTTATTGATTTTTTACAGAGAGGAACGGAGAGGGATAGAGAGTTAGAAACATCGATGAGAGAGAAACATCAATCAGCTGCCTCCTGCACTCCCCCCACTGGGGATGTGCCTGCAACTAAGGTACATGCCCTTGACCGGAATCGAACCTGGGACGTTTCAGTCCACAGACCGAGGCTCTATCCACTGAGCCAAACTGGTTAGGGCTCTGAGCCTTTTCTTACACAATTACCCAACCAGGAATCCGTCAAGTCATTTTTCCAGTGCCTTGTTGCTGCCACCTACTCCATGATGCCCTCTTGACCATGCCAGACCACATGCCTCACCAAACATCTCTCACACACACAGTATTTTTTTTCTTTTTCTTTTTGTAGGTGGTATTACGATTGAATACTTTCTGTCTTCTGTCTTCGTTCGGTCTGTTCTCTCTATCAGATGCAACTTCTTCTCTAAGGCACATACTGTTGGCCAGAATGTAACCATTCTAGCTATGATGGTTTTTTTCTTAGTATAGCTCAGACCAATACTACTTGGTAAACTTAACCAAGGAGGCAAAAGACTTGTACACTGAAAACTACAAAATGTTGCCAAGAGAAATTAAAGAAGACACAAATAAACGGGAAAATATCCCATGTGCATAAATTGGAGACTTAATATTGTTAAGATGTCAATAATAACCAAAGTAATCTCCAGATTTAATGCAATTGCTATCAAAATCCCAGGAGAAGTTATTGCAGAAATAGAAAAATCCAATCCTAAAATTCTTATAGAATCTCAATGGGTCTAAATGTCCAAAACAATCCTGAAAAAGAAAAACAATGTTGGAGGTCACATACTTCTTGATTTCAAAACTTATTATAAAGCTACCATGCTCGCCCTGGCAATTGGTTAGAGCATCGTCCTGATGCACCAAGGTTGCAAGTTTGATCCCCGGTCAGGGCACATACTAGGTGTACCGGTTAATAATGTGGATTTTTTTTCAATGGATGGGAGTTACACATATGTTGATATATATATGATTTGATATGTATGCTATTTTGTTGTATTGACAACAAGCTTCAAAGTTTCATATGTCAAATTTTCTGAAGGTATTAACATCATAGATATTTTTACACTTAAAAATGTTGAATTTTGTGCCAAAATAAGAGCATTTGCGGGAAGTTTTAATTCTTTATTTTGAAGAAAAATGCTGCTGAAAGTTATCATATACTTTGGGAAGCTTATGGTGAACATGCTCCATCTCAAGATACTTGTGAACGCTGGTTTAAGTGCTTTAAAAGTGATGATTTCGATGTGAAAGACAAAGAACGTCCAAGTCAGCTGAAAAAGTTTGAAGACCAACAATTACAAGCATTATTGGATGAAGATGTGTGTCAAACTCAAAAACGACTTGCAGGAAGATTAAACGTTGCTCAGTAAACAATTTCCGATCATTTACAAGCAATGGGAAAGATTTTAAAGGAAGGAAAATGGGTGCCACATCAACTGAACGAAAGACAAATGGAAAACTGAAAAGTCATCAGTAAAATGTTGCTTCAACGGCATGAAAGAAAGTCTTTTTTGCATCGAATTGTGACTGGTGATGAAAAGTGGATTTATTTTGAGAATTCCAAACGCACAGAATCATGGGTTGATCCAGGTCAACCATCAACATCGACTGCAAGGCCAAATTGCTTCGGAAAGAAGACAATGCTCTGCATTTGGTGGGATCAGGAAGGTGTGGTGTATTATGAGCTTCTAAAACCAGGTGAAACCATTAATACTGATCGCTACTGACAACAAATAATTTGAACCATGCTTTGATCGTGAAATGACCAGAATGTTCCAGAAGACACGGCAAAGTAATTTTGCTTCAAGATAACGCACCATCACGCACTTCAAAACCAGTTAAAGACACATGATGAGATCTTGCCTTGGAAGTATTAACCCACCCGTATTCACTAGACCTTGCTCCTTCAGATTACCACTTGTTCCGCTGAGCAGCACTTCAAAATGTATGAAGAAGTGGAAATTGGGTCTCTGAATGGTCTGCCTCAAAACAAGAAAAGTTCTATTGGGACAGTATCCACAAATTACCTGAAAGATGGAGGAAATGTGTAGCTAGCAATAGACTTACTTTGAATAAAGCACGTTTGATATTTTTCTTGACATTACCATGTTTTCTTTGATTACAAAATCCATACTATTAACCGGTTAATGGTTAATCCGCATTATAAACTGGTTAATGGTTGATCTGCATTTTTAACCGGTTGTAGTGGTTCTCAACCTTCTGGCCCTTTAAATACAGTTCCTCATGTTGTGACCCAACCATAAAATTATTTTCGTTGCTACTTCATAACTAATGTTGCTACTGTTATGAGTCGTAATGTAAATATCTGATATGCAGGATGGTCTTAGGCGACCCCTGTGAAAGGGTCATTCAACCGCCAAAGGGGTCGTGACCCACAGGTTGAGAACCGCTGGTAATGGTTGATCCGACTTATTAACCGGTTAAGGGTTGATCTGTATTAACCAGTTAATTGCATTATTAACTGGTTAATAGTTAATCCGCATTATTAACCAGTTAATACAGATCAACCCTTAACCGGTTAATAATGTGGATCAACCATTAACCGGTTAATACTGTGGATTTTGTAATAAAAGAAAACATGGTAATTTCAAGAGAAACATCAAAAGTGCTTTATTCAAAGTAATGTCCATCGCTAGTTAAAAAAATAATCAGCTTTGCTTGTCACCCCTTCAAAGTAATGACACCCCTTCACGTTCACATTATAGAATTTGCAAGCTGAAAAGAAGAATGATTAGCTCTGCTTCCGAGCCAAGTTGGGTCAGGGCGAGTTAGAACTAGAACTCAGAGACCCTGGCTTCCAGCGATGAGCCCCTTTCTTCTGCTGCCTGCCTGCACGCGCAGCGCACCCCTCTCCGCATTTCTGTGCAAGCAGGGCTCTCTCTGGACAGCTCTAAATTACCTGCATTAGGAGGAGAGGAATGAGCAGGCACGACGTTTTCACAGGTGAATTTCCTTAAGACGTCCTGGGTGATTTTTTTTTCTAAAGCCCTTTTCTCAATGGTGCTGACTTTAAGGTACTGTTCCATTAACTGAGGGCTGAGGAGACAGCCCACGAGCACGGCGCCTCGCTGAAAATTTGCCATAAACAGAGTTGCGCAGCTGATGGGCTGCGCGGTGGGCAGGGCACTGTTGGTTACTAACGAGCCCCCAAATAAGGTAGGTATCCTCTAAAAGGCACTAATGGAGCACCTACTCCGTGTCTAAGAGCTGAGCGGCTGCCTTCTATCCTTTCACAGGCCCAAAGCCCTACGAACCTGCAGACACCGGGAGTTCTGATTCTCATCTCGGATCTGGCCTTGAACTTGTGTCGAGGTATTTTAAATTCGTCAACATGGTGGCCTGTCTGTGGCCTCAAAAGTAAAAAAAAAAAAAAAAAAAAAAAAAAAGGTTTTTCAAAACGGAAAGATAATTTTCTTGTGAGCCGCTCAACAGGCTCCCTGTCCCGGGAGCCTCAAACTCCTCAAACCACCCTTCACCCCCCACCCCCCGCCCCCCGGCCCGGGTCCAGGCTGCCGACCGCCGGCCCAGCGGAGCCAGGGCGCCGGGGCCGAGGGGGCGCCTTTCTCTTTAAGAGCCCCAAGGGCGACCGTGATTGGCTGTAGCTATGCAGGTCTTTCCTCCGAGAGCTGCCTCCCCCGCCGCCCTCCGCGCGCGCCTGCCTCCCCCAGCCCCCTCGCGCCCCCTCCCGCCCCAGCGCGACCCTCTTCCTCGCGGCATCGGCCCGAGTTCAGCCCGGGCATCGGCATGGGGGAGGCGCCAGCAACAGATGCCAGGCTCCCAGGTTTGCATACTTAGGCCACGCTGAGCGCCCGAAGAAGAGAGAAGGAACCGGAGAAGGTCCGGGAAGGCGGGGACGGGAGGTGTGGAGATCCCCCCTATAAAGGAGAAGCCCCCGCCCCCACCGGAGAGATCCCCGCCCGCAGAGCTCTGCTGCCGGCAGCCCTGTCGCCGGCGCCCACCTCTCTCCAGCCATGCCGGGCCGGGCCGCCGATCGGGGCCAGGTCCCCTTCTGCAGCGCCGCGGAGGAAAGCCGCTCGGGGGTCGAGGACTCGGAGGGCGGCGGCGGTCAGGAGAGGCCGGGCGCACGCAAGCAGCGGCAGGACATCGTTTGGCGGAACGTCGTCCTGATGAGCCTGCTCCACTTGGCCGCTGTGTACTCCCTGGTGCTGATCCCCAAAGCCAAGCCGCTCACCCTGCTCTGGGGTAAGTCCCTCGGACGCCCCCTGCGCCCCGCGGACGGTGGCGAGGCCGCTCCGGAGCGCGCGGAGTCGCGGGTCTGCTGTCCGCGGTGCGGAGCCACCTCCGCTCTCCTCTCGCCGGCCCCGGGCGCCCCGGCCCCCTTGGCCTGCAGTTGCCCTCCCTTCGGGACCGGCAGGTCTTTCCGCCCAGATATTTTCAACTCCCTCCCCTGCGGGTCTGCTCGAGTGGGCGCATTGGTCCGCTCCCCGAAGGAGAGCGGGAGGGACCCAGAGTCCTGCGGCGCCGCCGCTGTGCGCGGAGAGGCACGCGAGGGGGGACGCTGGGCGCCCCTGAACTCCGATTTGAGCGCTGGAGGACAGGCGGCCCGAAGGTGTCGCCCGAGCGGGTCCCAGGGGCTCTCCTATCTGCCGCCTTTCGGCTCAATGTCCTCCGCGGGCCACGGACCTTGGGGCCGAGTTAAGGACAAGAAAGGAAGTGGAGGGGGGTGGAGAGACCTGACCCAGGGACAGTCTGGATTTCGCGCACGACATGGAAGAAACCAGCCTTCTTCCTCGTCCCTGCAAGGCCCCTCTTCCCTGCCTCCTCCGTGATCTTCTATGCCCATTGCACTTCTGTGGCGCCGGAAGTTTCTTGGCGAACACAAGGCGCTCACGTTGAGAGAGCTCTGCCCCCACTACTAAGCTCGGGTTGTGGCCACGCAGAGACCCCTCCAGGCCCGGCACCCCTCTAATCCGTGCGGGCAGGGCTCTTCTCACACCTGTGGCTCTCCCGCCACCCTCCTTCCTAGCACCTGCCGGCTGCGGCAGCGAGGGAGCTCAGGAGTCGACCCCCTCCCGCCCCCCCAGTTCCTCCCCCTTCTCTCCGCCACAGGGCCTCTCTGCTTGCCCTATGTGATTCCAGTCGCTGACCTATGAACCACCTGAAAGACACCCCAGTCCCAACTGGTTTTGGCCTCCATCACCATCCCGGCAGTAGCCAGGGCTAAAGGCGCAGGCATTGACATCCTGGGCCGAGACACAGACCAAGTACTCCAAGGAGCTCTTCCAGCCTCGTTTTTGAGATCATCAGGGAACAGTGCCAGGAGAAATAACAACCTTTTATTTCCAGAGGGGAAGAGGAAGGAAGAAGTAAGACCTTTTTCTGCCAACTTCAATGCTAGGTTGATAATGATTTCCTTGAAATCCTGCAGACCCTGCTCTTGTAGACCCTGGGTACCTCTTAGGGGGTGTGGCAGAGGGGGGATGCAGAGTCGAAAAATGGTGAGAGGGGCATAGGCCTTTGAGAATCATGAAAACTTAAAGTCCCCTAAAAGCTTTGGGTAACCCCCTGCTCAGCCCTCCCCCACTTAATGCAGCTCCTCACTTCTGTGTCGCCAGGGTCTTTGTTTTGCTTTGGTTTAATTTTGGTCTGTCTTCTGTCTTATCTCTAAATGACTAAATTGTAAGATGTCCAGCCATTTATTGGTGAACACACTTATACGCTGCCAATCAAAGCCTTTAGTGCCCCAGAGCCTCCATGGTGCTCCCCCCCCCCCCCCCAGTACTGTTGGACTTCAGGGCCCATTTGCCTGGGGGAGGGGGGATTGGGGCTTGGCCTAATAGCTGATGTGTCAGAGAGAGCTCAGGGAGATGTGAGCACTTAAAATATTATCTTACATGTCTGGGGCTCCACAGGGCCACTGGCTCCACTCCCTGCAGCCACTGAACCCCAGTGACTCTGGCATTCCACCAGGAGCCACAAGGCTAAGGCCTCTTCTTCAGGTTTGCTAAGTTATCTCTGCCCTGTCTTGGTTGCTCTCTGTGGTGAAGGCAGAATCTTTGTTTTGAAAGACCTTGGCCAGAGGACACCATCCCTTGGCCCCAAATTCCTCCAGCTTCCTGGGAGAAGTCAACACACTGAAGGAATCTGGTTTCCTCAAATCCCATCCTTGTACCTCCCTGCATAGTCTTCTGCCTTACCCACTTTTCATCAGCTCCATTCTCTCTCTGTTTTAAAAAATGTTTTTATATTGATTTCAGAGAGAGGAAGGGAGAGGAGAGAGATAGAAACATCAATGATGAGAGAGACTCATTGATCAGCTGCCTCCTGCATGCTTCCCACTGGGGATTGAGCCTGCAACCCAGGCTGGTGCCCTGATGGGGAATCGAACTGTGACCTCCTGGTTCATAGGTCGATGCTCAACCACTGAGCCACACTGCCCTGGCTCCATTCTCTTAATTTGATTAACTCCCTACCTGTGCTTCAGTGCATCCTTTCAAAAAATAAAAAATAAAAACAGCAGGCAATGGTGGATGTTATAGTTTCTAGTTTCAAAACTGTGACTTAGGAACATTCCAAACAAATGAATCTTTTCTGATGGATATCTTGTGGGAGAAGAAATGAGGGACAAAGACCTGCTAAGATGGGTTGTGCTGTGGCTAGGATATTTAGGGCAGCTGGAAGGCCAGGGGCACCATCCACTCAAGGTTATTTTCAGAGAAAGCTCTGTTTCCTTGACCCACAAACCCCTCCCCTCCCTGGATTGTCTTTCACCCCCTCCCTCACTGGCTCTATCTAGCTTTAGAGCTGAATTCCTGCACCAGTAGGCTGTTAACACTTCAGGGACCTAAGTTGTTGAGGAAATAGGCTTAGCCCTATCCACTGCTTGCTGCCTCCCCAACCCAGGTGAGGTTGCCCTGGAAACAGGCATCCATGCAGTGCATCCAGCAGAGGATGTTAGGTGCGCAGTGTGCCGAGAGTAATTTGCATGGTGGTAAAATGTCATCCATGAGAGATCCATCAAGTCGTTCAGTCCAACCTCCTCCAGTGCCTAACCCCCACCTTTTCATGGCTGTTCTTGGGGCTAGAGCAGGTTATTTTCCTTATCGTCGCAGTGTTCTGAGTGGGCAAGCTTAGAATGGAATGCTCTTGGTGCCCACAGGTCCTGAAGGGTGAGTTTAGGAGTTTCGAGAACAGAATGCAAACTTCAATTGGAGGAAAATTTTAACCTAAAGGCTTGAGCTCACAAAAGTGCCTGCTTTGAGGGTTTGGGCCGAAGGAGCGGCTAATACGTGCCCTGAATCCCAAGAGGAGTAGAACCAGGGGAGTAAGGAGCAGCAGTCATGGTATCAAAATAGAATTCCTGGGATTCCTTTCCAGGGAGGTTTGCCCCGACTTGTGTCCAGGCCTTCCGATTCTTGGTTTCCAGAAATGTCAGGGACTTTTCTGCTTTCTCTGGAAATGTCACCCACGTCCTGATCAGGGGTAAAGGCAGCGTCTCATGGTGACCTCATGGGTTTTGTCCCTTCACAGGACAACTTCAGTGACAGTACCAGGCATGCAAGTCAGTGATTTGCTCCCTTCTTTCATCCTGTCCAGGGATAACATGGCCATTTCTAGGGCAATATAGGATTCTTTGGCATCCCTGGTGCTGGAGCAGCTGGCCAATCCTGAGTGGGATTCAGCCTATGGGGAGGAAGCTGAGAGGTAGCAGGAATTAACAAAGCAGCCTGGGGCCAGGGAGGTCAGGAGAGGCTGGGGTTTGGAAAGTGCTGGTTGATCAGTCAAATTCTGGCCAATACTGAGAGTTGCCCAAAGATGAACTGTCTTTTGTCAGGCATTGGGTGACCTGCATCCACCACCTGGCATGGTCCTGATGTCTGCTGGGTTGTGGTACTTTTTCTATCAAGTCCCTAAGGTTGTTGAGGAGACCAAGAATGTGTGGTCATGAACTGTAGGGAGCGGCTGGCTATAGGGTTAAGCCTTGGACTGACGTTTTGGCAAAGCCACAAATAAGTTCCAGCTTAGAGGGCAAAGCCCTCTTAGCACAAATTAAGCTTGACCTTATGATGCTCCCTAGATCCTTCCTGGGTAGCTAATGGGCTGTGGGAGGTGCAGCAAGTGCTGCCAAAACAAGTGAAACTCACAAGAACATTGTAACTATGGTGACCACTACCTTGTTTACCTCTGGCTATAAAATAAAGGCTCAGCTTGCTGTGTGGATCCCTCTCTCTGTGGCCTTAGCCAGGCACAGGAAGATCCACCTAGACCCAGCTTACTTTCTTTGTCTGTCTTTTCTTTTTTTTAAAATATATTTTACTGATTTTTTACAGAGAGGAAGGGAGAGAGATAGAGAGTTAGAAACATTGATGAGAGAGAAACATCGATCAGCTGCCTCCTGCGCATCTCCTACTGGGGATGTGCCCGCAACCCAGGTACATGCCCTCGACCAGAATCGAACCTGGGACCTTTCAGTCCACAGGCCGACGCTCTATCCACTGAGCCAAACCGGTTTCGGCTGTCTGTCTTTTCTTAAATCCTTCGCAGCCCCTCCTCAGGCTCACCGAACCCTTGGCTGAGCTGGCCCGCCCCAATGGACGTCTGTCTTGCCTCCAGATTTTTAGAGTGAGAAAGGCTCGAGAGAGAGACAGATCCGAATGTGAATTCCTCTCTCCTACTGAACTTACCAGCTTCATGGCCTTGGAGCGATGAATGGCTTTAAACCTCAGCTTTCTCATCTATAAAATGGGTATATTAACACTACTTGCTCACAAAGTGGTGAGAATTAAATTAGATAATATATGACAGCAATACAATCATAGTAGGGGACTTTAATACCCCATTGACATCATTGGATAAATCTTCTAGACAAAAAAATCAACAAGGAAACAGCAATCCTAACTGACTCACTAGATCAGATGGAACTAATTGACATCTTCAGAACATTTCACCCCAAAGCTATAGAGCATACATTCTTCTCAAGTACACATTGGACCTTGTCAAAGATAGACCACATGTTAGGACATAGACTAAGTCTCTACAAATTCAAGAGGATTGAAATCATAAATTAGATAATATATATAAATTACTTAGCACAGTGCCTGGCCCTTGGTTGGTGTATAGTAATTGTCAGCTGCCATTATTATTATTGGACCCAATACTGGCTGTTTTTCTTTAGTGGAAGGGAAAAAGGTCTTTCATGTTTTTCTTTGGGGACTGTTGCAATAGAGACAGGGCCAAATCAT